CTCTTCATTATCCTGTACCTACATCAAACTCAAGTAAATTTAGAAGTTGCTTGAAAACTCGAGTGTTGCTTCCATTTCTCAAGTCAGCTTTTAAGTTTCTAATTGGAACAAGTACTTAAGATAGGAAATAAAACACTTGCAGGATTAGTGCTACCTCTTCAAGGCTCTTCTTCTTACTTCCTCCTCTGAACCTCGATTTAGTAACAGAAGCATAGAATGAGAAAGGAGGTCGACTGATCAGAGACAAGGAGCTCTATATTTTACGAGAAGGACAGCCATATACATTTCTCTATGAGACCCCACTCTTCTCTAAAACTAGATAATATTTTGATTCTTAGTGCACGGATTGTAATGAACCGACACTTAAATTAAAGCTGGAAGATTAGAGAACAATCCTTTTTAGTCTCATTGCGATATCAGCTAAAATTCTTAATATATAAGCTATCGTTTACAAGTTCCTCTCATAAATATAGCAACTGCATTGACAGAATTCGTAAACACGAATATTTTTAACTGAGAACCGTAAACATTATTAATCGGAGTGCCATATAGAATTATTAATCAATTAACGAAGATGAAGGGTCAATGAGTTTATGATGTTTCGACAATTTCGTTGATTACAACATAACATTTAAAGTGGTTAGCATTAGGTTATACATGTTCACTTTCGAGAGAGGATACGAGAGACATAAAAATGAATATTAACGTATCGTTGGACGAGCCATTGACAAGTAATAATTGTGTGAAGCTAGTGATCGAACTTTTAAAATATATATTATATCAAAAGCATCAAATACCATTCACGTACGACTCGCTGTCTCGGTTAAAAATGGAACCAAGTGATAGAAATGTAGCTTCTGTAAAAACGTTGTTAAGTTCTCTGCAGAACACGTCGGATCAGTTGAATTCACAGTTCCATCAGAAGGACTGCAAAGTCAAAGAGATCGCTATACTAATTGGCGCAACAATTATATCACCGAAGTTACATATCAAGGTGGAATTTCCTCCGGACATCCTCGACAGCCAAGAACACTTCGATTGGAAACACGTTTCAAGGAAGCCTATGTTAAATTTAATGAGGTGAGCGGCTAGAATCCTTTACTGTTCCATTGTAATTGTGTATTGACAAATATAAATGTTTCAGATCGATGTTGGAGTGTTCAGAGTTTCAGGATGCTCTGACATCACCGTTAAAGCCCACGAACACGTTTGTGTTGATACAAAAGAGTGACAATAATTCAGTGTCGGAGTACTTTTTACCTAAACCACAATACATACCACCCATACAAATCTCCAACTATTTCGTGATTAAACTGCAGTATAACAATGCTATAAATGAGATTTGTAACTGCATGAATTTAGTGAGAGTGTACAATGATGTGCCTGAGCCTGGTGACTGCAAGAGGAAAGACGTTGAATTTTTACAGAAGTCCGATACGGGTACGAGGTCTGTTTCTTACCAATGGTACCAGTCAAGAGAAGTGATTAAGGGATTCCAATTCCTAAGATGACGTTAAATTTTTACACAAGTCTGATACGGGTACGAGGCCTGATTCTTATTAATGGTATCAGTCAAGAGAAGTGATTAAGGGATTCTAATTCTTAAGATGACGATGAATTTATTAACACGATGCTAGTTAATTGAAAGGAAAAATTTTCTATTAGTTCCAATTATTAAAACAATTTTTATGTTCATCATGTTATTAAAGATCTATTATTAATTGCAAATGCTATATATTTTATACATCGAAACAACTCATTCATCATGCAGTGTATGTACAATTGATTTAAACATTGATTGTAAATAAAGGTGTCATATCATTAATAATCGCAAACTAATTTTTATTTTTGTGTAACAAATTTACATAAATGGATATGTAATAATCACGAAATAAACATATGTTTAATTAATCTTCCTTTATCTCATAAATCTTCACCTTTAAAATTCTGAAATCGTTAACTACTAATATTCTGAAAAGTAAAATCATGAGTCCTCCTATCCAACAGCACACTATCAATCCTGAAAAGGTCTAGAAACAAATATAAACTTTTATACATCTGCCACCCACGTATAAAGAAGAGGATGTAAAATACTTTTAGGATGTAACCTGGAGATATGGCAGTACGTGACACATATCATGATGAGTATAAAAATTATTAATGTGCATGTAACCCTCTACAACGTCGCAGTCACTGTAAATTGATATCTATTGAACTGTCGCTTTTTACCCATTTCAATTCTCATACCTCAAAGTCAATACTACATTATAAACGTTGTACATTTCGAAGGGGATCCCCATTATGCTTTTGTTAAACGCCTTGTATCCCTGTCCCAGGTTGTAATGCGAATATATGCTTGCACCGGTGAATAAAAAATTAAAGACCACTGCAGGTAATACAATTCTCCATGGACGCTCGTATCTGTATACAAGTGTTATATCTCCTTCTTCGAAAGTTAATTACCGTGTAACTGGAGAGAACGATTTACTTGCAGGGATGCGTTGTGGCCACCTTTTCCGCACAGCATGAACAGGATGAACCAAATGATTCCAAACGTGCAAGACGATAAACACGTTCCTAAGTATACATCGCACAGAACAGCGTAACGATAATCGGTATGGACATATTCCCACCATTCTGAGACGATTCTATCTTCATCGACAACGGATCCAATTTGCTCTCGCGATATGACGCTACACGTTGCCCAGAACGGACATTTACCTCCGAATATATATTCCTTCGTAAGATACAATTAAATTTGTTTCTGCGGTATGATGAAATGGTACTTGTAACGTGTAGAACAAAAAGCTGCAAATGTATCCACTCATCGAGGATAGAAGATACAAAAGCATCTGTCCGTATTTCCAGAGCCGAGAGATCTGAGACGCGTCGCGTTCGATCAGTATCTCATACTTTTCTATCAAGTGCATCGAGAGTTTTCCTACGCGCAATCAATTTTTCTTATCTGAATACCGATGATTAAAAATGATTGCGCGCCAAGCTTCATCTGCGTCGAGAGACGTGTGCCTGATTGGTGCGTCCGAAGGAAAAACAATTCAAATGGTATGACAAGATGAACAAATGTAAAAATTGAAATATGATCGGTGCGACGCGATAAGGATCGCCGTGATTCTTAAACGTAATTAAAACCTCGCGTTGTTGTCGCGATCCGGAGGGTCCGAACGCGTTCAGCGATTACGGAGAATGACATTCGAGCCGAATAGATATCCCACCTAAATATCGAGCGTGTATAGTGAATTCAGTGTAACTCGGTGGAGTGTGAAGGAAGTGTTGCAGACTATCGTGGGAGTTGGACCGAGAGACGAAGGAACGCGCGGATCGCGAACCGCCACAGTGTTGTCGACGAGAAGGATACACGAAGGCGAGAAATTCTTGTTTTTTTTTTTACATCCGAACATCGAAAATCACGAGGAAAACGATGGTGGATGCACACTCTAAAGGGTCATCGAACGAATAAACTCAATTGCCGTGGACACGTAAACCATTCGTGGGTGAAGTGAAACACATGTGTCGGCCGAACCGTGTTTTCTACTGTAGGGCGCCCGTCCCGTGTTTGATCCGTGAAAATCTTCCGTTTAGAAAGCCAACTTGTACGCCAGCTACGATTATTACTGAGATATCAACGTGCCTGATTTTCTACACGTCTATTAACGCGAGGAGCCGCTTCTTCGAAATGATATAGAACTGTTCACAGAAGGCGGCAGTGCGTGGGTGGGTGGGTGTCTAGCGATTGCCACTCATGTTCAGAAAATTCCAAAAGGAATTTTGCACAAAATGTTATCGTCGAACCAATGATACCTTGTATCTCGATTCCACGTTACCCCGTTCTGTCGATACGTGTTAATTGACGCATTGTCCGGGCGGTTCTTCTCGAGCAGAAGAAAAAAAATATCAGTTAAATTTTGGAGCAACACTGCTCTTGCTGTCAATCTTTGACCAATGTCAGTTTGGCAGTTTTAAACGAGTATCAATATGATACTGTTCCTCTGTCGTTGTCCACATCATTAAAAAAAAACCTGTACACTTGTATCATCGAGATTTCGTATTCAAACATCTTGTTCCTCATTAAACCAATTTGTTTTTTATTGTCCAATGCTTCACGTTTAAAAAAGAAGTTTTGTAAAAGATGCTTTCCTTAAATTGTGAGACATAAGTATTAAAATAAGCTTGGTGTGTGTGGATGTAAGTATTTAAATAAGCTATAGTTTATAGCTTTAAAAGAAGGACCTCCTCGAGGTCCTGCCTCTTTCCTTGGAACCGATATTGAGTGGCTAAAGTATGAAAGGTCAAGCGGAGAAAAATGGGTATCGGTAAAGTGTCAGCATGCGTGAGAAGTCAGCAGAATGTCATGCTCACGCAGCTCACGTGAGGGGCACAACAGAGATGTGCTCACGTGATCCACCTACATTGCATTCGACCCTTACCAAGGCAAACGGCAAAAATTCAAGTCCCCAGTCAACCCATCATTCGGAAACACGAATCGACAACAATTTGCTGCCAACACCTGGTGGGAGATTAAAGTTTTTCAAGGATGGAAAGTTCATATTGGAACTGTCCCATCGTAGGGACGGAGAGAGAACTACATGGTTCCCAGTTCCAAAAAAGACCTTCTGGCCACCGGCTAGCACGACTCCGAACAGACAAGAGAGTTCCACTTCCCTCAGTGGTAAGTTCATCTGCGAACAAATCCCGTAGAATTTTGTGAAATCTAACATAGTTTGCTTTACAGTTTCCGATGATAACTCGTCCGTTCAATCAAGTCCTTGGCAAAGAGACCATTGTTGGAAACAAGCAAACCCGAGACGTAGAATATCTACGGAGTTTAACTTCTACTACTACAGAAATCCAAAAAATCGTCTATGCGCGCATCCACGCTTGATCGCTAGAAAGCGTAGACGTCCGTTAGATCCCACTTCGCAGCTGTTCGTTTCCGAGACGGTAACGAATTACAGCAAGCCAGCTCGCAAAGCGAACGGCGCACCGACAGGGAAGGTTCTGAACATGATCATCGACAAGTTAGCGCGTCTCCTAGACCCTAACGTCGTTTCACCTCGCAAACGTATATTACGCGAATTAGAGAGAGTGTCTTTGGAGGACCAAGCGTCGAAAAGGCGCGCGACGCCGCAACCAGTTTGTACGACGACCGCACCCACTTCATCGCCGAAGCAATTGTCCTCATACAGCATAACTAGTATCTTGGGAGAGGACAAGCCGAGTCACGAGCAAGGGTTCTTGAGAAATTTGTTGAAACCTGACGACAGACAAACTGTGAAATACTCATCGAGCAATTCGTATCCGAGAGTACGAATGGATCCGTACATTGGTACAGTGAACGCGCCGCTCCAGCATCCGCTTTACGTGCCGATGCTGCCTCCCGGACCGTATAGAGCTCCGTTATGGATGCACTATCCGTCACCCGTCCATTATCCACCTCCCATGCCGTTGTACGCGCCACCGCCACCTCATCCGCCGTCTCCTCCGGTTCATCATTACAAAGACTACAGAGAACAAACTCTCACACCTCCTTCAGGTAAATGTTGAAAAATAAGATGATCGAACGTGTTCAAACTCATTGCGATATGTTTCTTTGATTTAGATATGCCTCTAAATCTGTCGAAGCATGCGGGTTGAATCTCAGGATCCTAAAAGTTGGTGCCTTATGGACAAAAACTACGTAAACACTGCCCGTGCAACGACAATGCGATATATTAGTATTTTTTTATCCGTAAACAGTAGAATTGTAGTAAGTAGAAATACGTAGCCAGGGAGACAAAAGTCTGGCTGCTATTCTTGTACATAAAAAAATGCATAAACTGTCCAAGTTGGCATAGGTATTTTACACGAATAATAAATTAAAATCATGAGTAGTATAATATAATTTTCATCGTAATTGTGACTATTGCTCCGTACTTTATCGCGTACGTTTCACGGTCGTAGTTCGAGAGATAATTTTCTACGATTTCTTTTTTTGCCAAAATGCGAGAAGCATGAACGTGTTCAATAGCATCGAATTCGACTTCCTTTGTTACTCGTTTACTACTCATGATTGAAAATAAAATCGCGATGGAAACAAAAGAGCATGCTTTAATCTCGTGCATCTCACTTACACATTATCTTGTTATTCTTATTAATGTTACATGTCATTATTATCATTACTAAATGATAAGACTACCCATTTAAAAAGATTCATAAAAAAGACATAGAATTATGTACAGAACGCAGATTATTTTATCTATATTTAGTATAAATATTCCTACGAATAATAATACGATAATAAATCTAGGTGTAATAACATCTACAACAGTATACATTTATTTATATATAATATTGATGAAGGAGGAAGAAGAAAAATTGCTTGGTAAAGACCGTGGGGTGTGCCTTAAAAGAATACCTAAATTGCATCAACACTAAATTATATACGTTTCCATGGATAATGTATTATTATTACTGCTGCCGCCACTGTGTATATATGAATATAACTTTGCGTTGCGTGTTTACATCAAATCGACATATTCGTCACTATTTATTGTTAGTCAGACGCATTACCAAACGTTTTACGCGAAAGGCAAGCTCACACAGGATCTATAAACTAGTGAATAACTACAATTATTCATTTACATACATTTTTTTATTAATTGAAACAGATGAAATATGTGACTGTGCGCAAGACATTGTATAGAAAGACTAATTTCGTAAATATATATAAATATTTCACATACTACAACGGAACGTCTTCATTTATTGTCACACGAATTTTATGTCTTTTCTTGTAAATATATTTAAATCGAAACCAATTCATCTCTGATATCCTTACTCAAGTACATAGAAATACCTTGCCGGGGTGATATAAAATTCCTTAAATAATTGAAAAACGTGTCTATTCTCGCGTACATGAGCGAGGTGCAAAGGGAGGAATTCAAATCTAGCGGACTGGTCAGAGAATGCGCAGAAGATTTGGCACTGTAGCTGACTCCCACTCCTGAGCAAAGGTAACGCAGACGCTCTCGAAACCGCGCAATCGTGGTCGGCTCTTGCTAGTATCCGATCCGTGGCCTTGTTTTGTGGTATTCGTTGACCGGGTTGTATCGTTCCGATCGTATGTTTTCTACCGAATATTCGTACAAGCTGAATCCCTGACCGAATCGGAACGTGGAAAGGACGTTCAGGAATCTTTATTAAATCTCTCGTTGTTCATTTTCGAATGCACGCGGGTTCGAGGAAACCGAGTGTACCCAGTGGCGGTAGAGGGGAGCAGACAGAGTTATATCGTCTGGTCGTATATGTAGTTCGCTCGGCAAAATGAAAATGGCGGTGTACCTGTGTGAACGGAGCAACGGCCACTGACGATGCTCGTTACGGTAACGGACACGTGAGCCAAATCGAGTGTGGAATTTTTTTCCATATACCAGTGTTCGTTCTTCGGGATAGTTAAGTGTTAGATCGTGGAGGGTTCCGCCAGGTCGATGGTCAGGAAATAAAGAAAGAGCCAGCGCGAAATTTTTCTTCTCGATCAGGGACAAACAAACACGATGGAGTGACACCGCCAAGTGTTGACTCCGTGGACAAGTGGGAAAGTGTCGGCTAATAGATTCGCGTAGTTGGAGGACGAGAAGCCTTCATGCCGATGCCGGCCGAATACCACGAAAACCACGGTAACCACGAGAACGCAAATTTCGCTCTCGGGGCCACACAGGACGCCAGCAACATGACGGCCAACATGTACCGGGTGGGAGGTAAAGTAACCGTACACATTTCGCCGGCTGATGGCTGGGCCATGCGTCCTCGTCGGGCTCGGGGAGAGACCCGCGTTTTACCTTTAATTAATCTACGGAAAACGAGAATGTTTGCGTTCGTATTGCCGCGATGGCGTCCACCTTCCCTACCTTCGTTTTTCTTTGTCCCCCGCGCGGACCTCTTAACTATCCACCGTTCATCCGAATCACCCTTTCTCCCCGCTCTTTTCTCGCGTCCGTACGTATCTATGTATATATGGATGAATGCATGTACGAATACGTGTGCATCGTATGTACGAATGTATGTATGCTGCTTTCCTTCTACCTCCCCCCTTTTCCCACTCTCGCCCTTCGTTCGGGTTATACTAATTTCTTGCACGATGATCGTACAATGATTAAGTAAAATTCGATATCACTGTCCAGTTTCTATTTCTCCCTCCGCTTCCCTCGGGATTCCTAGGTTGCCCGAAATGTTTTCGTGGTACGCGCCGATGGCCCAGGCAGGCTGATATTCATTTTCACCAAATTATCTTTCCGTTCCCTTAGTTCGTGTACTTACAAGCACAATCGACATCCCGAACCCAACAAATCGGTTTACGCGACTAGCACGAATTTAGGATCCGTGTATTCTATTTTTGTGTTTTTCCTTTTAAGCACTCGGCAATAACATTGCCTTTATCTTTCGATAAGCGCGTTCTTAAAATGCATATTATAACTAGAACATTTTCTACATTATTTGCGTTCTTACGTTACATGTTTCGAAACACTACGGTATATACATTTACGAGAAACTACGAGTAAATAAACATACGAATATTTGATGCTAGCAATCACAGTCTTGCAGATGTATAGATATAAGTAAATATTCTAGGACAAAAATTTGTTATTTGTTTTTATATTTTCTTCACCGGGTACATGTAAATGATTAGTAAATAATTCGCTTTCTTTCAAATTTATAGATTATGTATATTTTGAAACATCTTCCACATCTCCCTACCAGATACGAAGGATAGAGGAGTTAAATAAGGTAAGGAGCATGGAAAAAGTATCTTTTTTCCATCGCCTACCAATAGTAGTTGAAACGCAGAATATTATTTCACCAATTGCATTTATGTGATTCGTTGTTTTAGACGGCAAGCGGAAATGTTGAGGCAAAAGTCATGTGCTTCTTTAGGCGGAGGGATTTACCTTCGACGTTAATTATGCTCGCTGATAAACATCAATGTGAGTAAACTGTATAATGTTAGAAACATTTAATAAGTAACTTTGATCATCGCGACAGCGTACGATCGATAAGCAACCGAAGGAGATTTAAATATTTTTCGTATCGGCTAAAACTTTTCGCTTTACCAAGGATCATTATTCTTCCAATTATATATTTAGTATTTTCTACTGTACCGTGTAGTCAACGAACGATGCCGCGAAAAATCGTGCGGTGAAATCGTAACGTAATTAAGGCTATTAATGGAGAACGTTTACTATGTTTAAAAATATTCCTCCCGTGTTCCGAACGATCCAAGACGCGATGAAAGCGTGAATTCAGAAAGTACCTTGTTACATTTACGCTGAAAGCGATACGAAAAAACGGAAGATCCTCTTCGTAGATGCAATTACATTTTCCCGTTTCAACTAAGATCAAGAATGTTTCCTCTGACGTTTCCAATATTCCGAATCTATACGTTGGAATCTCGTTGAAAAGGGGCGGCGTTACATTTCCTCGCGCAAGAAAAATAATACGTAACAAATAACGTGAAAAAAAAACAGCTCGCTCGATTTTCCGCGCTTCGATACATATGTAAGTAGAGGTGGATGTGTGCGGTATGTGTGTCCCCGAAGCTTTCTCGATTTTTCCTTTGCAATAGCAAAGATAATGAGACGCGGGGATTTGGGGGTGGGAATGTATAATAAGTAAAGTTGAGGGGTGGCAGAGGGGTGAAATGGGGGTTGTATCGATCTGCCGGGGGTGGGTTGGGGGTGGTGCGGCCGCCAACCCACCTCTCTCCCTCTTTCTACCTCTCTCACCCAAGTGCCTCATACCCACCCCTCCTTGCCTCCCGCCACCCCGAACTAAATGAATGACTGACGCAGGGGTCGGTTGGGTATGTGTTACGTGTACTCGGACACAGACTTGTAAGAACACCGATAGACGTACACGATATCCATAGCACGTAGACATGCACGAATAACGGGCAGAGAGAAACAGGAACACTCGTAGAGAACTCGCGGGCGTGTGTGGCGTGTACGTGTGTGCACGCGTACCCTCGCGCGCGCACGCCGTGAGTATGTGTGTCCGGACGAAAATGGTGGGCCCCACTAGCCATCTTCGTTTTAAGCATTTACTCCCCCGCCTCTCTTTGCCTCCCTTCTCTTCTTTTCTACTGTACGTACATATGTATGTGTACGCGAATGTACACTCTCCATCGTCTCTCTTTCTCTCTGCCCGTGGCTCTATGCTCGTCTGCCGGTATTTGCTTCGAATCGGGTTCTCTCCCCTTCCGCTTTCTCTTCCTCTTCCCTCGCCCCTGCCCGTTTCTGTACCTTCCTCTTCTGTACCTCAAATTTCAGGAAAAAAATATGCGTACTTTGTCCTGGACAGAGTCGATATCTTGCTGTGCGAAACGTAACGGCGGGATAGGAAATAGTACGCATTCGAGGTGCCGCGCTTTTTGCCGGAACTTCATTGCACACCATCCCCTTCATCCATGATCAATTCCGAGCACGAAATCCTATTCTAAAAATCGATCCGATCTCGCTTGAATCTTTTACCATTGCTGTTCAGGTTTCACATTTCTAAATCGTGTACTCAAACGATTTTTAATCACGATATTTTTTAAACATCGCAATTGTAAATAGAAACGCGATTGGAATTGGTTGACAGAATCAAAATTATATTTGATACCATGTCTGCATTAATTATTTACGTATCGATATGCCCAAGAGCTACTCGTAGAAAATGAAAGCTATTGATCGATAAGTCTATTCTTAGTCGTTACGGTATTTTTACGATTAAGATGTCCTAAAAGCATGCGTTGTAAATTTTATTAGAGGAAAGATACGATAGAAATGAGATAGTAGAGTGGGTTCTATGGTACAAATTGCAGTGGCAAGTGCGGAGCAGCAGAGGTCAGAATCCCCTGCAAACACACAGACTCAGAAACTCGAGAATCCAGATACTGCTAAGGAAATGACTAATAAAGATGGGATCGGGCCCAAAGTGATGAACAAAGGGGGCGGGAAGGGGGGCTGGCTGAAGGCCCCGCTTTCAGAGGCCCAAGAGCCTCACGGTGAGTGAACAGTCAATTAAAAGGTGCTCCTTACAGATGAATTTTTCTCGCACTTCCAAAATCTTACCGAAGTTAAACAATGTATATCGAACCTATGCGTAAGTCGTTACAGAATTGTCAAATGACGATCATTAAGCAATTCATCAGTAAGTACAGCATATTATGTGCATCTTTTGATTGTCTTGTTAGTCTCATATTGAAGCCAATGATGATGTCAGGCTAATGATCAAGCGGCGGGATTTAGAAAATTCTTTGTAATCTTGGTGAACGCCACGAGTCTAGGCTGTATTCACTGTAAGGCCAAAGAGACAATAAATCGGGTTTGACCACGAGCCCTTTTCTTGAGTTCTATCAAAAGGGTTTAATAGCTAGGTGCTCGAAACCCGGACATTACGCGCTCATGATCATTCCTCCTCGTCATTTTTATCGTCCATTCGTTTCTCGATGTTACAGTCGATTATTTCCGGTACAGATATCCTAAATTCATTCTCATTAAAACTCAGTATCCTGACAACGAGAAAAATCCCGCCGCAAAAATGATAATTCTTTAGTAATCTGAGGCTTCTTCAAACAATTTACTTTGAGAATTGATTTCATTTCTGTTTAATAGGTAACGTAACACTTTTAAGATTGCTTTCATTTCCGTTTTTTTGTTGCCCGCTCTTGCTGATACTTTTTAGTTCACTGTTATAAGTTTTCATTGATTCTGCCACATTCCTGCGTTTCATTTACATTTCATTTATCCATATGTTATAACGGGAATAAAATAATAATGGAAGATACAACTGCATGAACAACAGTCAGGAAACACTTATATTACGCGCGATAAAAATCGACGTAGAGGAAATCGAAATATTCCAATTAATTCTATTGAATCGTTTATGGCCTTTTTTACTTTTCACGCCTTGAATAAATTTCGTTGTCCAAGCTTCTCTTAAAATTGTTTTCGTATCCGCGAGAATCCTTGAAATCGACTTAACTGTAAATGGTTTCGCATACAGGGATGGAAGAGAACGTGGTCGGTGCTGGAGGTGTTACAGAGTTAAGTTCTAAGCAACGTCATCAGATGAAGCACAGAGAACTGTTTCTGTCTCGTCAAGTGGAAACGATGCCCGCAACTCATATAAGAGGCAAATGCTGTGTCACTTTATTAAACGAAACAGAATCTTTACTGAGCTATCTAAACAAAGAGGACTCGTTCTTCTACTGTTTAGTATTCGATCCTACTCAACGCACGCTGCTCGCTGATAAAGGTACTCGCCGATATTAATGAAATACTTAATATAAACGATTAATGCGATGATACATTACAGGTGAAATTAGAGTAGGCAGTAGGTATCAAGCTGATGGAATAGCACCAGCTCCACTGACACCTGCCGAGAGAGACTCAGATCCTCGTAGGTTGCAAGACTTAGAAACGTTGGTTTGGACGCCTCGGCATTCACTAACCGACCGTCAAATTGATCAATTTCTTGTTGTCAGTAGATCAGTAGGCACATTTGCAAGAGCTTTAGACTGTTCATCTTCAGTTAAACAACCATCTTTGCATATGTCTGCAGCGGCTGCATCTAGAGACATTACTCTTGTAAATATCATCAATATTTGTGTTTCTATCTATTGACTCGAACGCGGTAATGCCCTTCTTTACATCTCTTTCTCCTTGTAGTTCCACGCGATGGATACTTTACATCGACATAATTACGATGTCGCAAAAGCAATGTCGTCCTTAGTACCGAGCACAGGCCCAGTATTATGCAGAGACGAAATGGAAGAGTGGAGCGCGTCCGAAGCGAACCTTTTCGAGGAAGCTCTTGATAAATACGGGAAGGACTTTTCTGACATACGTCAGGATTTCGTAAGTATACATAAAATCTTTCGAATTTTGTAGCTGTACTTGACTCTACGTTTAAGGATGTATTGGCTATACAGTCAATCCCAAAAGATTATGTACCCTATAAAAACGCATTTCTTATAATTAAAAAT